CCCCCAGCCCGTCGTTTCTTACAGCACAAGAAGTTGGTATCACACTTTCAAGAATGGCCACGTTGACTAGACCGAAAAACCATGATCTGGGAGACCAGTTGAGCTCCAACAACCATACGAATGTGGATGAAGAGGATTCCAGGTGTAGTACTCACAAGCTGGAACAGGAGCTCCATATTCATCACGACACAGCTGCCCATTATATCGCATCGGAAGGACACGGAGATGCAGATTATGGATGAGTTGTTTTAGGGCTTTCTTACGCATCATCGCTGAATGGTTTGATCACATGCGACGAGAAGTGTGCTCTCTAGTAAACGCCAGTGGCTTGGACGCGTAGAGCAAGGAATCCCGACCCCCAAACCAGAACACCAACCTACGTAGGCAATGCTTAGCCTTTACAGTCATTCTAAAAGGTCGGAACTGGAACTTGCAGCTACCAAACTCCAAGGTAAGCACCAAGGCCTACTGTATTCTGTTGGATCGGGTTGCTGCAGATCTATGAGTGCAACAGCGGAAAGCCCCCTTTTTTGAAGTTTACATAGTTTGAGAGTGATAGTGCTGCCGCTTCATACATGTGTTTGTTTCAAGTCTCTAGTATGACTAACTTCAACCTAGTAGCGCACTGAAAGAGAATGTGTTTCACTTTCGCGACTCGAGTCGTTATCTCTGAAGCACTGAGCCATCTCTAGCACGAGCCGATTGGTAAAAGAGTGCACTGAAGGTAGCATTGGTCTTCTCTGCTTAGCACTGAAGGCGGCATTGATCTTCCTTGCTACTTCAATCAAAACACATATGATGCTGGAAGAGGAGTTCACAGAAATCACAAGACAACCTGGTGTTCAACCTCCTCTACAACTAGAGACTCTTGAGAGTTCTACATGCATCCATTAGAGTTATCTCAATGGTATTGCAGAACTTCACCGCGACGGGCAATCCAGTCTTAGTTTCAGATGTTTCTTTATTATGAGTTCTCCGAAAAAGCTTGGAATTTTTTCAGACATCGCGGCATAAACTTCTTTTTGCCAGCGTTTTCGGCTCTGTGGCTAGCAGAAGAAGATGTGGGTCAAGATAAACTAATTGCGGATTTGGTGGTGTGTTTTTGAACTTTTTGTACCTCTGGTGGTGTTCACGTAGACGTTCAGAAGATGCTTCTATTTTTTCAGAGTGGTGTCGTTGAAGAGGACAGTCCTCATATCGAGATGGTGTTGGAGGATGGTCAACTTGTTCCTGAATCTGACAGTCGTGATAGCGAGTGAGTCACACTGCACGAACTTAACCATTAAATGACCTCTTTTAGCTTTCTTCAACTACACTTCCCTATCCACTAACCCATCTTCCTTAACACTTCCTTAAAATGATGGTGTATGCTACTCCAACTCATTGGGAGCCCCAACCCTGCCTTGAAATCTAGCTAAATTTAGGCAGTAGGACGGAAAGACAGACGGATTTACTCGACGCGTTTGTTGAGTTGCTCCGTATCTACCGTAAATCAAATTTGTCTAGAACTTAGTTGAGCGAATGCAGGGCTTTCTAGAATGGGAGTTGCACAGTAGTTCGTGGGAGGTCGTGAGATTCCTCACTGTGATCTTAATGTATGTAGCTTGAAGCAGATGCTAGGAGGTTCATTCTGGGCTCCTCTTTCTCGGACTGCCTAGACTGCGTAGACTTCCTTATCCTTTTTGGGAAGGCACAGTTTGGAAAGAATCCTTTGACTTGTTCGAGGTTTTCTCTACTGTCTGGCGCTTTTCGTCGCCACTCGCTATGCGAAAGCTCATCGTAGGACGGGACTTGAACCTGTGCTTGTACTCAGAGCATCACCCTATCCATCCAGTTATGAACTACCAAAACTTCACATATTCATAGTCCAATATACATGAAAAATTCTGATTAGTTTGAGTGAAAAGCTATTCACTGAGTAATGAATGGATAATGAGCGGAAAGTAGGTAGTGTAAGTACGTAGCGTATCGTTCCGAAAATGACGGCTAAAGATTCGAATTCGGCCGGTATTCTAAATTTCGCTCATAACTCAGAAATACTTTGAGGGCATGAGGAACCGACACGGTAAACATTAAGCCTGGCCTGTGTTGTTAACGAGTAATGTCTTATGGGAGTAATGTGTTCTGTAAGGAGATAATGCTAACTATAAATTTGTTTTGACTTTATGTTTTTTTTTTCAAAAGCGGGTTCTCAGTAGTGTAATGGATAAGAGCACGGTTCGCTAGTACAAGTTCGGATTTGAGTCCCATCCGAGCCGAAGTTTTGTTCATAAGTCGCCAACCTTTTGAAGCTATTATAACTACAACGTGCCGAAGAGCACGGCCTCGCTTTCACCTTCAACCTGAATTCATCAGTTAGTATCATCTCCCCCTCCCATAACCTCCCATTGCCTCAAAGCGGCAACTCCTGTACAAGTGTTAAGTTGTTATAAATAATCATAAACGATGGAATTTTGTGAGGATCGCTTTATTTCAGATCACCCCCGGATCCTCTTAAACAGCTTATCCGTTGCTTCCAGCGTGCAGCCACTAGTGAGGAAAGTCAGGCTGCCCCAATTCACGATGATAACCTGTTCGTTTTCAAATACGTCCGCAATTTACATTCAATTTTTTTACGAGAATTGCATATCGATTAAAGTTCATTTTTATGATCAGTGGCTGCTTATAAGATCAAAATCTCGTTTTCAGCAACTGTTAGGTGTATTTTGGAATTCTAGATATATTCGTTTTGCCGACGTAATGTCACAATCTATCCACATTGAAGAAGAAGATGGTGATGACGGTGACGATGCGGAAATTGATCAAGCGGTAACATCAAATTTATCGTTGAACAATCATGCGGAAGTGCTTACTGTGCCATAAGGTCATTCAGTAGGATGCAATGCCTGCTGTTCTGCCATTCTTTTACCCAGTGCAATGGTTTGGAAACGTGTGGAAGCAATCACTGATACATGGTGAAATACCACATAGTACCATGTGCGGTGCAACCTCAGTTATTGCATGATACGATACCCACCCTAAATGTTCAAAAAAACACGAAAAACGCGTTTTCGCGTTTTTTACGTTTTTCCTCTGTAACTAGGTTGATTTTCAGTTTTTGTATATAGTGTACTATTAGGTGTGTGCATTAATTTCCGCCGTTTTTCGCGTGCAAAAACATACTTATTACAAAATGAAATTTAAATGTACATTAAACAATGTATTGCCCATCGTTGGCTACAACTTCTTGTCATCTTCCTGGTATCTTGTTGACTCCGGATCTAAAAAAGTCTTCATCTTTTGAGGCAATCCTGTTATCCACCCATTTTCGCACTTCTTCGGCAGTCCGTGATTGTATATCTGTCAAACTGACTTGCATGGACCGGAATAGGTGGTAATCAGAAAGAGCAAGATCCGGAGAGTATGCGGGCTGAACAAGCTGATCCCGTCCAACAACTGCAATTTTTTAAAGGACATTCTGCGCAACATGGAGTCTGGCATGTTCGTGGTGGTACGGCACCTCAAGATGTTTTCTTGCGATTAACGACCGCTTGTAGGTGATAGCATCCTACAAACTGTCAAGTTGGTGTTCGTAGCTGTCAGCAGTAACAGTTTCGTAGTACACAACACCCTTTTGATCCCACCACCAAATGCCCACACAGCATTACTTTTTGGCAATGCTTTTTCGTTCAGATGAAGCCTGTCCTCCATAGAAGCAGTCGGTGGGCTTCAATGCCAGTTTTCTTGAAATCAAACAGCAGGGGAAGGGCCCCCCGGGTAAACGGTTCATCACGTTCCATGACCAATCAGCCTGAGAGCAACAGGTTTTTGGGGCAAAACTGATCTGTCTGCCCTTAAGTAGGTAGCCAATACCCTACCTTACAGAATATGACAGGTTTCACCGGTAAACCTCTAACATGTTTCGCGCAACGGCCCTTGGAATTCGGCGGCGGAAATTAATGCACACACCTAATATATTCTTGAACTCAACCCCTCGAGTTCTATAACATGGTTTCCTGTTCTGGCTGGCTGAGCTGGAGAGCCAATAGGGCGGCCGAGAGAATGGGAAGGGTAGAAAAGCGGTGCTAAAGGTGCTAACTCGAAGTGAATTCTGTGGATCGATTTTTATATGACTGAGCAGCTTTTCGAAATGGATTCAAACTATGCAGGTTTTCGGATGTTTACTTTGAACGTGAAAATCAAAATTTTGTCTACTGTGCTTTGGGGCGTTATCTGGAGCTTATATAAAGTCCGAGGGTCCAGATAAGTTACGATTTTTTTTACAGTCAGTGATTGTTCACAAAGAGTTTAGTATGAATACTTCCGGAACAGGGTAGAGCTCCTCCCTGATCATCGGAAATTTCATTTGAAAAAGCAAGAAAACCTATGCTCTTTGTAAAAACATCGTGCATACCGTATTTCAAACGATTATGTAACCTTCCCTTTCAAACTCAAAGCACTAATTTTTAAGTCATGAGGAAGTAATTTTTCTGGAGAATAGGCTTTCTATTTTCTGAATAGAAACCAACTCATGTTGGCTATTCCTCATTTTGAAAAGCCTCTGTCATTTGAATTTGGCCCATGGCCAAATTCATCCATTTTGGAGAAAACTGGTATCGAAGTGGTCAGGATGATCTGAAAAATGCTATGGTCTTATTTTCACCCTATGCCGGAAAATATTGGCTACTCCACGTTTGACAGACTACTTTTAATAGAAGAGAATGTCCTCTGGTTATAATTATGGCAGGCGTCGTTGCTAATGACGTACCCTCAGGAACTTTGATGAATGGGGGACATCAAAATCGAGCTTCTCAAAATTTTAAACGAACCATGCTATAGAGCTCAACGAGTTGAGTTTAACCATGTAGCACACTATAAATAAAAACTGTAAATGAACCTAGTTACAGGGAAAAAAACGAAAAAAACGTGAAAATGCGTTTTTTTCGTGTTTTTTTGAACATTTAGTGTGGCTATTGTACCTTCCATGACCTGAATTGAGGATGCATTCCGCAGACTCTAGCAATAAAGCAACATCGAAAAAGAGTTGAGGGGCCTGAGGAAGTAGTACGTGATGTAGTTGTCGAGCTTAACACCATTGAAAAGAAGTGGTAGTGACTAGGAGTTGGGATCATTCAAAAACAGCATCAGCATCCCTGCCTTCAAATGTGTTAATGAACATTGTTCAACTGAACGGAATGAACTTATGGAGCTTAGCTCTCCCACTTCAGCCTGCAGCATTTTTTCTTCGTTTCCGAGCTGGGTGAAGAGGACGACCCCTACTCTCAACTGGACACTTCATGAGAGCTTAGAGTAATCGTGGCCATCAGAACCCAGGGAAACTTCTCCCTTCGAAGTGAAAGAAAGAGCAAAAATCATCGTTAGACATTCTGATTAATACGTCATTCTACATTTAGGAATGGAAGTGTAATGAAAGAGCGATTTGGTGGGAAGTTCTTGACATTCTGTCACTCATGTGTTTAAGGAGAAAGATTTTTCTGTCACTCATGTGTTTAAGGAGAGGAGATTTACAGATCCTCACTCATTCGTAGTCGTCCTAAAAGTAGAGGATTCAGTTACGAGGTTTCACAGTCGTTAACTACTGTGTTTCCTCTTGCCCTCCTTACCTTCAGTGCGGGATATCCCATAACCAACCAATCCTTATTGTTTTGCCTAGTTTTCACTGTACAGCTGAAACCTGGACTACTATCCTTCGGTATATTCACAGAGAGTAGTTGTTAAGTGTTTAGTCGCCGTACAATAATTACATACTCGTTCAGTTCCCCACCAACACGTTTGACATTTTATGAATAGCTGATGATTCACTGAACATTAGTAAGCTGTCGGCCACAAAAATACTGAATGAAAGCACAGACACTTTGTATTCATATAGAACTCTTGAATCTATTTGTCCATGTCCAGCATGAGATTGATGTTTTCGTTTTTCGAAATCTATAGATGCAAATTTGCAGCAAAAAGAGGAGCAATCTCAAGCACTCCGCGCTGAACAGGGTGTGCTAGCGGATCGAGGAGCGGCAATTATGTGTCTGATGTATCTATCAGCAAGTAATGGTGAACCAAACGACATGGTTGCTCGTACACTCGAACTCGGCATTCATCTCCTCTCAGGCGGAAACGTTGACATTCAGCGGGTATGTACACTTACTGTTGTAGTTTTTGATGCCCTGAACAACAACAACAACAACTGTAACATCTCTTCGCTACTTTTTGTTCCCTCCCAATAAATAGGTCTAGGGGTAATTCGGCTTTTCAAAATTTGCTCGGTTGTCTATCACAGTTTCATTTTCCATACAGCCCAGTTCGGGTAACTTGAGGAACACGTACCTCACGTGTATCCCTTCCGTATCGGCTGATTGCTGCTATAAATTTGCTTATTACGTGAAAATTATAAACAGAATATACTCTCGCTCTCAGATACATCATTGGGAAGTTCATAGTTACCATATGCCTTACTCATTAAGGTAGAAGTTGGTTCTATTTTCTGAGGATTGGTACCTACTACCACTTGATTGTAGAAGTTTTGCAGAGCTAACTAACTCACATTCACTCTACTTTTTCATCCATGGTCATTAATGGGTACATGATAATATGTTTCAGATGTTGATCGAATATCTTCAACTGAAAAAAGATGTCCGCTTCTTCACTTCAATGGCCGGTCTCATGAATAAGTGTTCTGTTCTGAATCTGGAAATGTTTGAACGTCAAATCAAGGTACATTACCGGTTTCAGTTCTTGTAGTTGTCCTCGACTGCACTATTTGCTCTGTAATTTAGTGCTATCTGCTTCAACGTCTTGCCATCATTTGGAATTTCTAGGAAGACCTTATAGATATAGAAAGCTCTACAACAAATGAACGTAGAACCATGGATTCAGAACATGGACATAGAACATGTAACCTCTCCTTTTTCAGGCCGAAGGTCTTGGCATGGGAGCAGAGCTGGCGTCCGGAGGTAATCAGAACTTGAACGACGCCGATTTCACGTGCTCACTATTTCGGTTCCTACAGCTGACCTGTGAAGGCCATAACCTCGGTAAGTCGCTCGATTCTTCGCTTCTTTTCGAAACCATAGTTCATCCCTGTTTTTATAGACTTCCAAAACTACCTTCGCACACAACCAGGCCACACAACAAGTGTGAATTTGATCAACAGCACAGTCGACTATCTTCTCCGACTTCAGGAATCCGTTATGGACTTTTACTGGCACTACTCTAGCAAGGTATATTTTCGTTACTGAAGGCAAACTTTGCGCTCGTCTTAGCTGAATACATACTTGAGGACATCTATCTAACAAACAGTAAAGAATGAAGAGAATCAGAAGCCCTTTTTTTTATAAGCGAATATGGAAATACTTGACAAATTATCGCACAACGGCTCCTCTACTTGAGCTCTGCAAACGAGTGCATACATACAGTTTTTGAAGCTATTGCGCCACTGCATCAGCCTTTTATAATTTTTCCCCTGACCCTTTACTGTAAATTGTCAGGGGTTTGTGATATCCGCACACACCACTTGATGTCAATATTAGGCAGTTCTTCATCACTTTTCCCACAAAAATGGGAGCTGGACACTGACGATTTCATTGGGTGCCTCAACGGCCCCACCTCAAGCTTGAACTTCCTTCCATCCACGCGACGTTTCCATCCACGTGGCTGGATGGCCAGTAACACCCAACTTTGCCCCTTAATGTTCACGTGGTCGGAGGCCATTTCAGCTTGTTCCCCTTTTGTACGGTCTGCGTGAGTTTTGAGGCTTCGAAGTTGATGATTACAGGTCAGCAGGGTGATGATAGCTTGCCCCTAACCTATAAGCTCCAGTCATCCATTCCGCCACCTGAACCCTCAACAAGAGAAAATACCGTTTTGTACCGGAGGATGAGCCTTGAAACCAGTTCATGTTCGAGCCGCCCTCAGAACATTCGTACATAACCCACTTCTCCTTCCCACTGATAAGTTTCTGAGAGCGTTGATTCCCTGATGTGAGAGAGAAGAGAACGAGATTTGATCATCTGCTCCCAATGTCGAAAAGCGACACCTTGTGGTATACTCATCGTCGCGGTATCTGAACTTTGCCATTTTCTTCAGTCCTCACGCAATGGAAGAAGGTTGTCCCCAACTAATTGGTGTTATCATCCGAGTTTGTCTCCGATGCGTCGTGACGTCGTCGAAGTTCACGCCCAGTAATCGACACGGCAGCTTCGAATTAGCCCGATGGTTCTTCATTCTTAAGTAATTAACATCCTTGAGATGCCTGGCATGCGTTTGGAGATAGGGTCGCCCAAATGCATGGGAAGTCCAAATTGTGTTTAGCTCCCGATTCGTAGATCACAGCCATTCAAAATACGGACGAGGAACGGGGTCGATGAAAAGTTTGGAAATATGCTGTCACACTGTGTATACCACCTTGCAATGTAACCAGGGTAACCTCTTACTTGAATCGCATTTTTTCTTGTAATGATCAGTCTGATATTGCTCAGGTACTCCAAAGAATCGATCCGATCCTGGGAAAAGACCGTCCACTGTCCTTGCCCAAGCAAAATAATTACTCGAGGGGAAAATAACTGTTTTTTATTTCAGGAAGTAATCGACGAAGGTGGAAAGGAGTACTTCTTACGAGCGATACAAGTATGCAGTCAGGTGTTCAACACCCTCACTGAGAGCATTCAGGTTATCCCTATTCAAGAGTATTATTCTAAAATGAAAAAATCAAATGAACAATCACTTTCATAGGCATCGCGAGCCTTGACAACTTTTCCATAAGGGATTAAGTAGTGACTTCTTATTCTGAAAGACTTCATTTAATAGATAATTAAGTAGAAACAGTAAATATACTAGTCTTTTTTGTCGTGAGCTAAGTTCTCTCTTTTACAGGGACCATGCGTTGGCAACCAGATGACGTTGGCGAATTCACGTTTATGGGACGCCATTAATGGTTTCTTCTTCCTGTTCGCCCATATGATGGAGAAGTTATACAAAAACTCTACTCAACTTGAATTACTGCGAGAGTTTTTGAATCTTCAAAAGGATATGATTGTTCTGATGCTTTCTATGCTCGAAGGTATATTATTACATTCATCTTGCAATGGCTCCATCTGCAATGGCTATCACTGAACCTATCCATTTCTAGGTAACGTTCTTAATGGACCAATCGGAAAGCAAATGGTTGACGCGTTGGTTGAGTCACAACCGTCTGTAGAGAAAATTCTGAAATTCTCGGACATGTTCCTCAAATTGAAGGATCTGACAACATCTCAAGCATTCCAGGTAAACTAAAGTTCGAAGGATGATCGTGATCGAAGCCATGGTCCCTGAGCTCTTTGACTCTAAGCAATATAGAAGACGGGTCGTATGGCGTGAATCCCCTTACTTGTATATTTCTTGAGTTTAGGTCGATTCTCGCTCACTTATTGAAAACTGTCCAATACTTAGTAGCCGCACATGCCGTATTTAGCAATTAATCTAAATCTAAGGTTAAACATATGTAATTATATACAAAACTACTATGCAGTCCTTTTTGAACTCCCTATCTACGTACCTGTGTTACGACTGCCGTCACATCATTCGTAATTTAGTAGCTTCGGGAACGCCAGTTGAATTTTAATCGGATCCGTAAGTCCCGATATAGTAGCTGTTGAGCAATGAGGGACGTGGCCTGGAGTAGGATAATAACACCCTCCTGACCTCCTTTGCCGTCGGAAGCTTGACTGTCCGCCTTGTCGAAGACCCGCTCGACGTGGTGCCGCGACCTGGGCTGGGTGCTGAATACACTCCTTTGCGCTGCGGCTGATGTCCTGATGGTGAAGAATCCTTTTTGATGGGCTCCTCCCGTCGCTGGTTTCGTTTAGTTTTTTCCTTGGTTTTCTCCATCTTCTCATAATTCTGCCGCAAAGATCACATTTCTGAATCTTTCAAACACATGTCATATCAAATGTCATGTCAAGGTAAATTATACCATTCGCAGCGATCGTCGTAGGTTGCATTTGGCAGCATCCGAAAGTTTAAGCGATCATATCGATGACAGATAAGGGTGTTTGTGGTTGAAGGTGAACAGAGTTCATGATATTCTAGGACTTTGACACGAACAGAGATGGTTGGATCAGTCCAAAGGAGTTCCAGCGTGCCATGGAAAGTCAAAAAATGTACACAGTGTAAGTCACCAAAATATTATGAATCTTAAGAATTTCGATAGGATTGATTGAATTCGATGAGCTTGAGTAGAAAGCTCAATTGTAGCGGTCCTAAGAGATGAGCAACCCAAGTATTCAGGGTTCTTGTACTAAACGGGTCATACCCATTACCTCACAATCTTGCAAGTTACAACTAGGTTGAGTCCCTTTTGAAGAGTATGTCTACGGTGGCATAGCTGAGCCTGTTTGAATGCCCCGGGCTAGTGCACATGGAATGTGTAAAGGTAGGTAGAGAGGAGAAAGCTCTTCAGATTAGAGTAGTACTGCCTTCGAAAGAAGGGTTCAATCAATGGGTTGTCCGAGAGAGACGGACCTTTGAGAGTAAACTGCAAAAACGAGCCCGAGCTCTTGTGTGAAGCTTTTGTCGGAAGCGTAGTGGAGGGGGAGGGAGAGGGAGAGGGCAGTGGTTGGGAGAGTCGTGAAGTGTATCTCCAAAGCATGATGTCTTGTTCATCTATCCTTGTGCTTTCGCCGAGGAAGCGCCGTTATTGAGAGTGTAGGTTGGATCCCGAATAGGCTAGAGGAACATTCCTTCACGATACAAATCAAACGACACTATATAAAGAGGATTGTATACGAAAAAGCTCTAGGTGGCACATGACAACAACCATTTCAGTGATTAGTACCGAAAAACTGAACTTTTTTTCGGAAAACTGGCTTCTACCTTGCAGGGAGGATATCACATATCTTATGATGTGCACCGATGTGAACAATGACGGCAAAGTGGACTATATGGAGTTCACTGAGAGATTCCATAATCCAGCCCGAGACATTGGTTTCAACCTGGCTGTGCTGCTGACAAATCTCAAGGAACATATAACCAATGACCCAAGGCTGGAGAAAATCATTGAGAAGGTACTAGTCGGTTTCTTATGTTTCTAGAGAAGAGCTTACTTAGTTTTTCCTTAGTTCACGACAGTAGACTTTATTGCCAGGCTTTATGTGTACTTGTCCTCGTTTCAGGCTCAAACCTTATTGGAATACTTCGATCCATTCCTGGGCAGAATTGAAATTATGGGCTCGAGCAAACGTGTAGAAAAGATCTATTTCGAGATTCAGGAATCTTGGCTAGAGCAGTGGGGAAAACAACAGATTCGGTACGTTGAACGTTGAGGGAAAACAATAATCTATTTTAATTTTAAATTTTAATTTTTAATTTATCATCCAGTAGTTTTTGTTTGTTTTAAATTCAACCACTGGAAGGAGAATATCGGATGAATAGAATTATAATTATTATACATGATTTGGATGTAGTGGATGGTGTAGTTTCAAGTGACGCACACCCCATATGCATGGTCAGGGATTCGAATGCCGGATCGATATCCGCCTAGGCCCACCAAGTTCAATTCCTTCAGGACCGATCAATTGGTACGAGACTGGTCCAGGAGGATAAAAGCCCTGACTTGTACATGGCCTGGCCACTACAAGTCATTGTATAGGTCACATACGCACTCATCACGCTATTACGATTCTGAATGGAAGTTGAGTGCGGGGCGCATCCCTCAGACGGGATTGATTAGCGACAAAACTTTTTCCTAATTTTATCCTCCCAATATGGATGTTCTACTATCACAATTCATCCCTTTTCTTCTCGATTTTTCAATTTTTCGCAATTCTGAAACAGTCTCATCTTCAAATCGTTCCCATTCAGCGATTCGAAGAACTCATTCCTGTTCAACGTCCTACAGGATGATGGCGGTGATCAAGGCAAACTCGAGGCGTTTATCAATTTCTGTGAGGTAATAAATTACGTACATTACTTACTGATCCAAAGAGAAAATTGGTGGATGGTGAATCCGTTATATTTTCTGTTTAGGACACGATTTTCGAGATGCAACATGCGGCTGAAATCTCGTCCGGTGATACGGACTCAAAAATGGAACGTGCTATGAAACAGCGAGACTATTTCTTGCAGCAAAGCAGTGCTGGAGAGTGAGTTTTTGCTCGAACCACAATGGGGAGGCTTTCTCTTTTTCAGGTTTTTCGTAATTCCACTTGTAAGAGAGTAGAGAAATATCGATATCCTCTGTGCGTTATTTTCATTCCTTCCGAAGTAATTGGCTTCATGGCAGAGCACTTCCTTTTAGTTTAACTTTTCATGAATCTTTAACCTACTTATATGAAGCTGCAATACTTTCTACGTTATGGTATTTTTTGTAGTTTACTAGTTGATGGGCTCTATTTATTCATTTCCTTTACTGATGATCTGCTCATCTAGGCAAATCTCCCAGACGTTCAAAAGCGGCTACAACTACGGTCTGACGGCAGCATCTGCATTACGACCGGAAAACGTTAAACAGACTTTCAAAAAAATCAGTGGCCAAGTACGGTAAGGCTCAATTTTTTGCTCTGATCAAATTGGAAAGCGAAAGTGTTGGTAGAGAATTTGCACCGGTGGCGGATAAAGTGAAAAAAAAACCAGCCGACTCCTCGAATTGTAGGCCCTCATAAAGTAGTGTCAATAGAGGTCATACGAGATTTCCACGGCAAAACTTGCCTGGAAGGGTGTTCGGACGAGATTTCAATCGTGGTAATTACGTAAAGAGCCGGATACATTGAGCCAAAAATGTCACCGTGCACCTTTGGTGTTTGGGGCGCCCTACCTGAGCCGTTTTCTGATCTGGCAATTCCCTCATATGATAGAGGTTGAGGGAGATAGGTGAAAGTGGCAGATTCATCCCCGGGGAGTATCTCGAAAACCCTTTTTAGCATGAACTGTGCTTTTAATGGATATCAAGCGGTGCTGGGGATTGGTAGCGAAAAAGAAGGATTAGAGGTTTCGATGAACTCGAGAGTCGATAATTTGCCCGAACCCTGGACCTTCATCTCATTTTGCTGAAGGAATTAGCCGCGATATCCCGATTAATTATTATTATTTTCATTATTATTAATATTATTATTATTAAAATTACTGTCATTATTTCAGTCAAATGACATGGATGCAGTTACTCTGGGCGACTACTCTAATATTGTTCCAATGTGGGAAGACATTCAGCTACGCTGCCTATCTACTTTTGATGACACTGTTCCGCTTTGCATACTTCCTTACTTCACCTGATCGCACAGAAGAGGAAGAGAAACCAAAGTAAGCCTTTCAGTACTCGTTTGCCACCAAACCGTGAATTTATTCGGTTTTTCAGGGCCCATTTGTATACCAATCAACCGATTTTGCCCGATTTTCATCCTACGCACCTTGGAGTGGACGCTTTTGGTTTGAGCGCCGATCAACTGCCTACGCCTAACGCTCAAGAGATTCCGCAAGTCGTAACAGAAGATTATACGACTTCCGATGAACCAACGACAACCAACAATAACAAGACTCCACCAAATATACCCACACCACCGCCAAGTGGACCAAAAGCACCAAGGTTCGAAATTTTTTGAAATTACAAATCTCTTTTCCAGTAATAGCAAAAATCGTCTCTTTTTAACCCCTGTACCACATTTTCGAATGGACCATCTAAGTTTTCAGTATATTTTCAGTGCTGTGCTGCCATTTTTCTGTGTTGGTCGCGGTAGAGAGACGTATGGTATAGCCCTTTTAATTAGGTGATGCCAGTTTGTGCAACCGCCTGATCTAGGGGAATTGCCTTCGTTTTTCCCGAAAACAGAAGGGGGCCCCAAAAGTTTGTCGATGAGAAAAGATTGAGCTTGTACAGGCTGTTTGAGAAGGAAACTCTTTACCGAGGACGTCCTGTAACAGCAGTTGAACTTTTT